ATTTAGTTAGTTTTCTTAGATATATTAAATTTCTATTTCTGTAAAGATCTTGTGAATTCTGTCTATTGGGTGTTGGTTATTTGTTACTTGGCAGTAAGAAGTCTATGCATATTCTGAACATCAGCTGTTTGTCAGATAACTACTTTTAAATATTTCTCCTAGTCTGCCACTTATCAACAAAAGCAATAAATGCTCAAAACTTGTCATTTCCTCAGTACTTTGCCACACCTACTATTTTCGGTGTTCTTGAGATTTTTTACACACATCTTGTCTATAGTTGAAAATATCCCATAAGGATATGCTAGTGCTCATCCTTTCCATTCAGCAATACCATGCTGTCAACTTGAAATTGACCTTCATGGGAGTACTTACACCAGGGAAATCAACAAATGCTACAGTCAAGGTCTTCACTTACTATTTTATGGATTGTTGTTGCAGATTAAAATTAAGAGCATGTTGCATTTGTTGCTGCTATATTTTAAATAGCGCCCAACAATTGAAAGATATTTTTCCAGTATTTGCAAACTATCCTCTGATTCAGTAGGAAGTCATCACATCATTAATAAATGGGTGAAATTTCGGCATACATATTCATCATTTCACTTTTCCATGCTCACCAACATAAATGAAATAAAATGAAAATGCTAATCAATATTCCTATTGGGACAACACACATTCATAATGACAGAGCAATTTCTTTGCAATCATAAACAAGCATTTATTCGTATCCTAAATCTGGCATGTTTTGAGTGAATTGCAATCATAAATTGACTATGGATACAAGAGTTTGGCAAAAGTCAATGAAAGCATTCTGTAAAAATCAAGAGGCAGTATCAAATTTGTAGCAAGTTACTGTCTATTTTATGTTCGTTTGCCACATCATTTGTATCAATTAAATTAGTAACACTTTATTATATACTTATCTTCCCCAAAGAATTGTTTGTTAACATTTTTCAGCACACCAATGGTTCTGACTCTAAGGATATTTACAAGCTAGTTCTTCCCACACTTACTTTTCTTAGTAAGAATTATGATCTTCAATAAATATATTGATGAGTAGAAAATAATACTCCAATTGCTTTACAAACCAGTGCCTGGACAGGAAAGAAAAAGAATTTTAGGTTTATTGCAAGTCTCTGAGTCTCTGAGCCAGGAAGCAGCCAGGCATGTTCAACCCTTCCTGATTAACTTCAAGCCAGCAGCACTGCTCAGATTTTGACAGTGTACAGAATTATTTGCCAGTCTAAACTGTTAACCTTGTAGTTCTCAATAGGTTGTGGTAGTAATGGGTTGTTCAGTCTGAGTTTTTAATATTATGACTTTCCATTATTCTCAGTGCCTTAACTTTTCATTCAATGGGGAAAGGGAATACACACTTCAGTACTATTTTCTGGGGATTTTAAAGTTGGATTTACAATCAACATTTTATCTCATAGAAATAATTCACAAAGAGTTGAGTACAATTCTTTCAGGTAGAAGGTTAGTATACTTCCATCCCTAGCAGAAATGTCCCTAATTCATTTATTTCTCTCACAATTTTCTCAATTATCTGGACAAGATTGCTTAAATTTAAAAATGGGAGCTTTGTTAAAGAGCTCATTAAAAGGCCAAGAATGTTTTCTATTTCCAAATGCTGTAACTTAATAACTAAGTGCATGTTTATGTACAAATGGTGAATCCAAGTGCCAGAGGACTTCAAGAGGAGCAAAGTAAAGAATTTCTGCAACCCATTTCTTCTCTGGGGCTTTATATATGCTTAGAGGTTCTGGGAATAAACAAATGAAATAATTGGAACTGATAAACCTTCATCTCAAAAAAATTGGACACTATGCAGTGTGTATGCCAGCAAAATAAAATGGCAGGTGGACAGGAGAGACACTTTTAGTGAATTAGAAAAATAATGTCAAACAAACGAGAGCAAATTTTTCATAGGCTATTTTTCATAGGCATGTATAACTCTTACTCTCCTGTAATAAAATGTAAACACATTTTTACAACCGACATTTTCAATGTTCATTTGTCCCTGACATCAGTTCTTGGAAGACCCACATCAAAACTCCTCAGTTTATGTTCCAATGCCTCCACATTCAAGCTTTGTTTGCTATTATATAGCAATGCTGTTTTTTAAAAAAACTAATTTCACATATTGTCCTGTCAATTGGTTATTGGTAAATGTGTTATTCAACTTTCTATCACTGTATTGAAATACCTGAAATAACTAACTTATAAAGACAAATGATTTAATTTGCCTCACAACTTCAGAGGTTCCAGTCCAAGATCGGGTGGACCCATTGCTTTGGGCCACTGCTGGATGGCAATGGGAGGAACCATGTGGTAGAGCAGATTGCTCACCTTGTGGCCAGGAAGCAATAAAGAAAAAAGGACTGGAGGTATGGCTCAAGTGGTAGAGCACCTGCTTTGCAAGTAGGAAGCCCTGAGTTGAAACCCCAGTCCCACCAAAACAATAGATAAATAAACAAATAAATGAATAAAGGAGAGAGAGAGAGAGAGAGAGAGAGAGAGAGAGAGAGAGAGAGGTGGAATCCCACCAACCTCCAATGACCTAAGGACTTGTCACTAAGATCCACTTCTTAAAGGTTCCATCTCCACCCAATCATGCTATTCTAAGTACCATGGCTTAAACATGTGGATCTTGGAGAGAACATGTGCCATCCAAACAACAGCAGCAAATGTTTGCTTGCATTTAAAAATAGACCAAATCTTCTTTTTGTATCAGTAATGTTTTTCCCTGAAATAGTTCCATGCACATTTGTGGTACCTATTGAGTTCTTCCTGTAGCTACCTACACAATAGAATCTTTTTGCGGGGGGAAAGGAAAATTTCATTAAAATATTTGCAGATGCTGCGCAGGGATTGAGACACGGGATGCAACTACAGGACAAGGGAACAGAACAAATTCGGAGACCAGACCCTTATCTCTGAAGTGAGTACCATTACCTATAAAAGGATATTTGAAGAGGATTGTATTCTATTAAGACAGGACATCCTAACATTGCCACCTATTGCCTTAAAAGGAACATTACATGTTTCTTACAACTGCTATTTCACCAGAGTAAGGCTGTTAGTATACTGACCCTTGGTAATTATTTGGTTTAACACAATAGTTGATATACAAAAGATTCCTGAAGAGGGAAGTTTGTTAAATGCAGAGGGTAGAATTCTTATGACAAGAACAGGAGAGGATATTTTTTTAAAGTTACTTCACAGAACAGAAAGTCAAATAGTAACTTTCGGGGTCTAGAGATAGGAGAAGTAGGGTGTTGTTAATGAAAGCAGAGTTTGAATTTTGAGAGATGAAAAAATTTTACAGATTGGTTGCACAGCAATGTGAACATACTTAATATTAATGAATGGAATATTTAGAAATGATTAAAATTGTTATTTTTATTATGTTCTTTATAACAATATTTTACTTTAAAAAACATTCTTGGTATAAGTTCTACAAATGATATAATCCATGAAATAAAAAAAGACACTCTTGACAAGATCATAAAAGACAAAGACCATCCAGAAAACTGTCCCAGACTGGAGAAGAAATCACAATTAAATGCAATGAGAAGCTCTCAACTGGATCCTGGACTAGAGCAGAGGACATTGGTGAGGAAACTTTAGATGGTTTAAGGTCCTTAGAGTAGTTAAGTGCTGTATCAATATATCCTGGTTTCCACGATAATTAGGTTATAGCTAGGAAATATGCTAACATTAGGGGAAGCTGAGGGAAGGATGTGTGGGAAATCTTTGTGTCATTTTTGCAATATATTGTAAATCTAAAATTCTAAATAATTAAAAAAGAAGAGGAGGACCAGGACTCCACCTTTTAAGGGGGAGGAAAGTAGAGGGACAGAGGAGGGTAGGCAAGGGGAAGGGAGAGAAGGAGGCCAGGAGGAAGAACCACCACCAGGGTAGATGCAAGAGACAGTTGGAGAGTCAGGCTGGAGCTGGAATTCAGAGCACCTTTTGCTTTACTTTGAAGAGTATGCTATATGTTTTGTTTTGTTTTGTTTTGTAAAGTATGACCAGAGTCAAAGTCAAGGAGAGAGATGAGTCAGTCCTCACTTGGGAAGTGCACCCTGCCAGCCAGGGTGAGTCTAGCAGGTAAGAGCCTGCAGGTGAAGGAGGGAGGGGTCTTGTGGAGGTGTAAACCCTTGATTGTTCTTTCCATGTAGCAGCAGAAGAGGTGGAGGACATCAGGAGCCGACTGCTCTTGAACCCACAGCCCCACTTCTCAATGGCTGAGCCTCGAGACTCTGCCCATGGGAGGGGGCCAGGGCTCGCGGCCGCAAAACGTTGGGAGAAGTGGCCCCTCCCCTTGCTTTAGGGGGACCAGCGTGGGAAGGAAGCGCAGCAGGAGGCCAGCCACCCTCCGCCCGGCCCTGTCCAGAGCCACAGGTACCTGACCTTCATTGAATGGCCACAGACCTCTGCATTCCTCTCCTGTAAATGCCCCAGTCTGTCTTAGCGGAGGATCCATTTTGTTGGCACATCCAACACCTGTGCTGGGATGTAGTATTGTCTGTAGCCATTCCTTTGTTTTACCTTAGCGTCTGCTAACCTCCCAGACCTTGGTAACCTGATAGGAGGTGTTTGCCCACTGATTTAACATTTATGTTGTGCTCCAGGGAAGACTAGTGATTTTGTTCTAAAATTTAAATATCCTTGGAGAGGGCCCATCTGACGAGGAACCAGTGAACAGGTTCATGGACAATTAGTGTGCACATGGAAATGTAGGAACCCCGCCCCCATAGCACTACAGAAAAACACAGTGCTCATGTTCTTACCTTGCTTCAGAATTGTTGAGAGAGTAAGAGTATGGTGGCTGCCTCTCTCAATAGCAAAGGCGAGATTATATAGATCAATATTTAGTAAAGAGAAATTTCTACAGTACATTAAGATACTGTTTGAATGTATAAAGAGAGTATTATTTAAATTTCTTCCTTGCGTTTTGTAGTTTTCTTCCTTTTTTCTGTGAGAGTAGAAAAATGGCCAGCAAAAAGCGAGAAGCCCAGCTGCAGGTGCGTATGACATGTCAACAGGTCTTTTTCTGGTGCAGTGGCATTTGAAGAACTTTTACAGCTCCTTGCTTTTTGCAGACAGTTGTCAACACTCAAGGCCTGTGGGATGAGATGTTGCAGAACAAAGGCTTAACAGGTACTGGGGTTCCCCTGTTGTCTGGTCATCGGGGGTTTGTCCCAGATATCTCATGGCATCCTACAAAATCCAGCTTCCCACTTTGAGCCTGAAATCCTGCCATCTTTGCCATGGCCCCTAATCCAGCCTGAGGATGTACTGATGATATTCTAGATCCTTTGACTCTATTCTTTCATAAATCTAGTGATTGATGTTTACCAAGCCTGGTGTGGACCTTGCAAAGCAATGCAGCCTTTATTTAGAAAATTGAAAAATGAACTGAATGAAGATGAAATTCTGCATTTTGTTGTGGTAAGGATTTCATTTTCATTAAACTATAGTTGTTAAACTTGAAATGTAACTAGACTAACTAAGGAAGTGAATTTTTTATTTTAATTAAAAGTGGATATTCAATTGAATTATTATAAAACTTTCAAAATTTGGGAAAACTTGGCTATGGGAATCTAATTGTTGGTGATAAAGATTAATTATTAGCTGATTAACATTATTAATTAAAGGTCAATAACTAACATATGCTCTAAGTATAAAATGTACACTAAATTTTAAGATATATTATGTAAAAGAATATGATGTATACCATTAATAATTTTTTTACATGGATTACATATTGAAATGATTATATTTTGGATACTGGGTTAAGGAAAATGTACTATTAAATTCTTTTCACTATTTCTTTTTGTTTTTTAAATGTGGCTACTAAAGAATTTAAAAGTATATATATGGTTCTCATATTTCTGTTAGATAGAAGCATAACTGAAACAGCCAGACCCTGGATGCAGAAGCAGAGGTCTTTACTCTAAAATGCATAGACTGTAAGGGTAATGCACCTTCAACCACTGCTCAATTGTGCTGGGTGAGGCCTTCCCCTCCCCTACCCAATCCAGATCTTGGAATGAGTTTGCTTATTGACCTTAACTTGTCATTGATGGTTCATCTTCTTCTTCAGACACATTCTTTATAGGACTTAATTTCCTTAATTTAAAGCTATGAATAAGTGATAAATCCCACTGAAGTCTATTAAAATTAGCTGTGGAGATTGAGTGAGGAAGTGAAAGAGCAACAGGGGCTTAATTTGGACAAAGTATTTTATCTTCATGTATGAAACATCATGGTGGAAAACCTCTGTACAATTAACATATGCTAATGTGAATAAAACATTGCAGAGGACCAACCAAAAAAACGAAAGTTATGAATAAGCATTCTAAAGCCTTGAAACTCCCTCTTACCATTTGTTTTTTGTTTAGGAGTTAACTATTGATAGTTGTTAAATTATTTTGCCCTGAGTGAAAGGATTGACTACTGTCTTCTGAAATGTTTTGTTTCTTTAATTAAAAATATTTAAATTTATAAAGATGTTATTTTGGAGCACTTTGAGGTTCAAAACAAAATTGGCACAATGAACAGGGAGTTCCTAAACCCCTTACATCCATACATCCTACACACCCAGTCTTCCCAATTATTAAAATTTGGCATAAGGGGGACTCATTTGTTACAATCAGTGAACCTGTATTGATAAATCATGATCTCTCAAAGTCCATGATTTGTGTTAGAGCTCACTCTTGATGTACATTGTACTTTTTTTTTTTGGTTGTATTGGGGTTTGAACTCAGGGCTTCATGCTTGCTAGGCAGGTGCTCTACCTGGAGCCACACCTCCAGCCCTTTTTACTCTGGTTATTTTGCAGCTAGGGTCTCACTTTTTTGGCTCGGTCAGACTGGAGCATGATGCTCCTATTTTATGCTTCCTGCTCTAGCTCATAGCCAAGAAGACAGGCTCAGACCACCGTGCCCAGCTATTGGTTGAGATGGGATCTCACAGACTTTTTGCCCATGCTGGCCTCCAGTGCAGTCCTCCAGATGTCAGCCTCCCGCACTCTGTGGGTTTTAGCACATATTTAATGACATGTATCCCACACTATGGCCTCATACAGAATAATTCCATGGCTCTAAAATCCTGTGACTTTACCTATCCATCCCTCCCTCTCTCTAACTCCTGATAATCACACATCCTTTTTACTGTTTCCATAGTTCTACCTTTTCCAGATTATCACATAGTTGGAATCACACAGTTCATAGCCTTTCCAGAATGCCTTCTTCCACTTAGCAATATGCATTTAAATTCCTCTTTGTATTTTCATGGTTCGATAGAATTTATTTTTAGTACTGAATAATAGTCCACTGTCTGGATGTTTATCTACTCACTGAAGAACACTATGGTTGCTTCCAAGTTTTGACAATTTTGTCTAAAGCTTCTATAAACATTCCCTTGCAGGTGTTTGTGTGGACCTGTTTTCAAACTAATTTGGATAAATATTAAGGAGGCTCATATGGTAGAACTAAGTTTCATTTTGTAAGAAACTGCCAAACTACCTTCCAACATGGCTCTACTTTTTATATTCTCACCAACAATAAGTGGGGATTCTCTTACTCCACAGCGTTACCAGCATTTGGTGATGTAAGGTTCTGGAATTTGGCCATTCTAGTAGGTGTGTAGTGGTATCTCCTTTTAACGTTCATTTTCCTGATGACATGTGACACGGAACATCTTGTCATCTGCTTATTTGCCATCTGTATACATTTGGTGAAGTCTTTGTCAATGTCTTTGGTCATTTTTGAATTGGGTTATTTCCTCATTTTTTACTTTTAAACATTCCTTGTATATTTTGAATAATAGTACCTTATCAGATATGTCTCTTGCAATTGCTTTCTCCTGCTGTTTTTTTTTTTTTTCATGTTCTGGAATTTTCAGTTTTTTACAAGGCAATATTTAGTAACAACCTTCTTCACTTAAGAATCAGAACCACCTTAAGGAAGGTGGGATATGACTTTAGATTTGGTTCTTAGCAGGGAGGAAAAACAAAGTTAGAGATCATAAAGTACAGTATAATGTGGATTGCCACATACAGTCTACAAGGAGTTGATGTAAGAAGTTAAAAGGTGATATCAGAAGTGTGTAATAGTTGGCAAATGGATCACAGAGAATCATGGATCAGATAATTCTTGTAGGAGTCTAATACTTTCATGCCATTGGCATGTAATGGGTTTTGTGTCCTTTTTTTTTTTTTCCTATTTAAAAAATAACATAAAAATCTTGTGCATCCTGGTGGCTGGAATTAGGGAAGATTTTCCAAAAGTGGTAGCAGAACAAATTCACAGGTTAGGGGGTCAAAGGAAGCTTCAGGTGTCCAATAGGAAATCAGGGCCAATAGGGAGAGACTGGCAACAAGGCAGGTCCCCTAACTCACCTGTCAGCCTACCCGGAAGGTCATCTCTTAGCCTCCAGGGATGGCAGCTGGGGTCATGGAAAAGTAAGGAAAGGGGTCTTTAAACAAGCACAAAGTGGAGTTTGGTGTTGGGCTCACCAAGATCTAGTCATTAAATCCCTGTTGTACAGAGTCTGAGTAGGAAACAACCAGGGGTGTGTATGCACCACATGTGAGGTGAAGGCTGAGTAATAGGGGCGGAAGAAGAAATAGACAATACAGTTTGCTTCATTCCCACTTCCACACAGCTCAGCAACTCTGAAAGAGAAGGTTGGTCATAGTGGATGCTGTGTGATGACACAGGTCTTCTAACAGTGTCGCCAAAAGCCTCAGGCTGTGTCCACCTAGCAGTACTTGGGACAACCAGATTCCTCAGCCTATCCACGGGAATTAGTTCCATTAATGTATCTGACCAACGGGAAGTGCTAGCACTGTACAGTTTTTCCAAAATATGCCCTCTTCACAATACTAGCGCTTGTTGAATTTGATAGCATGTGTGTGGTGTCCCCAAATAGTTTATCTTTTGTTGTTTGTACTTACTCAACAACGGTACATTCACACACATGGATACTATTTTCAGGAAGTGATCTGCCCCAAATCTGCAAGGAAACAACAAAAAGAAGACAACCCCCCCCAAAAAAAAATCCCTCTCCAAACCTCCACTGTGAGCAGCAATAGGGGGTGCCTTCTGCTGGACATACTGTTTTTCAGCAGCTAATCAAGAAATTAGAAATCGGGACCCTTTCTGAATTAAATCCAAAACTGAAGCATGTGAGGTTGATTACCTGATTAAAAAAGCATGCTGTGATGTACACATTTTTGTATTTTTTAAATTATTGTAGCAACCATTTGTAAAACATTCCAAATAATTCCACAGCTCTGAAGCAGCAATCCAATTTCCTCTGTCACTTTTGGTCCAATGTGTATTAACCTCCAGAGAAAGAAAACAGGTACAGGCCTGCCTTACTGAGAGCTGAATAGAGTCCAGGGGAAGACTTCACCATGGGAAAGCTTATTGCTCTGTACGAAGTACCAGCCAAACCAGAAAGGTGATTCTAGGAAGTGTTAGCCAAAAACTAAACCCAAATACCATGATGGTCACATTTTCAGCTTTAAGGTATCTTTGGACAAGTTTATTTTTATGTAACCAGAATATATACGGAACTTAAAAAACTAAATTCTCCCAAAACTAATGAACCAATAAAGAAATGGGCAAGTGAACTAATCAGAACTTTCTCAAAAGAAGAAATTCAGATGGCCAAAAAACACATAAAAAAATGCTCACCATCTCTAGCAATAAAGGAAATGCAAATTAAAACCACACTAAGATTCCACCTCACCCCTGTTAGAATAGCCATCATCAGCAACACCACCAACAGGTGTTGGCGAGGATGCGGGGAAAAAGGAACCCTTTTACACTGTTGGTGGGAATGTAAACTAGTACAACCACTCTGGAAAAAAATTTGGAGGCTACTTAAAAAGCTAAACATTGATCTACCATTTGATCCAGCAATACCACTCTTGGGGATACCCAAAAGACTATGACACAGGTTACTCCAGAGGCACCTGCACACCCATGTTTATTGTGGCACTATTCACAATAGCCAAGTTATGGAAACAGCCAAGATGCCCCACTACTGATGAATGGATTAAGAAAATGTGGTATCTATACACAAGGGAATTTTATGCAGCCATGAAGAAGAATGAAATGTTATCATTCACAGGTAAATGGATAGAATTGGAGAACATCATTCTGAGTGAGGTTAGCCTGGCCCAAAAGACAAAAAATCGTATGTTCTCCCTCATATGTGGACATTAGATCAAGGGCAAACACAACAAGGGGATTGGACTTTGAGCACATGATAAAAGCGAGAGCACACAAGGGAGGGGTGAGGATAGGTAAGACACCTAAAAAATTAGCTAGCATTTGTTGCCCTTAATGCAGAGAAACTAAAGCAGATACCTTAAAAGCAACTGAGGCCAATAGGAAAAGGGGACCAGGAACTAGAGAAAAGGTTAGATCAAAAAGAATTAACCTAGAAGGTAACACACACGCACAGGAAATTAATGTGAGTCAACTCCCTGTATAGCTATCCTTATCTCAACCAGGAACACTTGTTCCTTCCTATTATTGCTTATACTCTCTCTACAACAAAATTAGAAATAAGGGCAAAATAGTTTCTGCTGGGTATTGGGGGGGGAGAGAGAGGGGGTGGAATGGGTGGTAAGGGAGGGAGTGGGGGCAGGGGGAAGAAATGGCCCAAGCCTTGTATGCACATATGAATAATAAAATAATAAAAAAAAGTTTATTTTTATGTTCTACTTTTTTCATCAGAAGTGACCAAATTAAGATGGTGAAGCCTCTAGAGATCATTGCCCCCCCCCTTTTTTTTCATGGCTGGGGATCAAACCAACGGCCTCTTTCATGTTAGGCAAGTGTTCTATTATTGAGTCACATCCTAAGACCAATTTTTTGTCTATAACCTTCCCACCTGCTCACAGAATAGATCATATGTGTTGAGGTGACCACTTATTTGCTCTCCTGCCTCCTTGAAGGAAGAAAGAAAATTATGTTTTTGCCACTAATTTAGCCATATGAAACTCATCTGTCACTCTTTGTGGATCTGAAGCTGCTGTCTCTGAAAGTGTCATCTTGTGCTTTGTATTAGTACTGGAGAGATCTCCAATAGCTTATGTACAAAACTTTAAATTTTTTCTATTATTTTGAAGTTGCTTCTTGGGGGTTGGGAAACCCTGGCCACTCCACTTGGCCTTCAGAGTTCTCCACAGTCTGAGACCTGGCAGCTGCTCTTCTGAAATTTCTTTCCCTACTCAGCCCACTCTTAAGTGGGGTTTCTGGAGTTCTGTTAGGTGTACATCCTGAAGCTTCTTGGCTTAAAATGTACCCTCCCTTTTTGTGGGCTCTTTGGGCCAGTTGGGAAAAAAGAAACTCGTGGTGTAACTGCATTGCTACTGAATGTTAGCAAGTGTCTTTTTGAAATAAGGAACTAGTTGTCCCCCCCCAAAAAAAATCACCTTATGTTGGATAGTTATTATAATTTTTTTCTGCTGTGCCCTTTTTAAAAGAATAACATTAAAAATTGTATATGTATATACAGTTGTCCATAGGAATCCTGGGTAGATTTGATGCTGAAGTTCCTTATATAAAATGAGGTAATATTTGCATATAACATATACACTTTAAATCATCTCTATCTTACTTGTAACCACTAATAAGATGTAAATGCAATGTAAATAGTTGTTACATTGCATTATTTGGAGAATAATGATAAGGAAAACAGTTTGTACATGTTCAGGACAGAAGCAATTTTTTCTCTAATCTTTTTCAGCTCAAGTTGGTTGCATCTGTGGATCTAGATCCCATGGAAATGGAAAGCTGACTGTATATATACTTTTTATATATGAATATAAATATATAAAAATATATATTGATATACTATATATGCATTTATGACAAAGCATGAAATATACATGTAAAAATCAATGGATATTACTTACCGTAATAATTAAATTATTTAGTTCTTAATATTTTACTATAATGCATATATTGTAATGATGATACCCAGACCACTTCTAAATATCATGTTGCCTCCTTTAATATTATAGATTAGTTCCTTTCTGCTCCCTTGTTTTTTCTTTTTAAAGCAGTAGAAACTTTTGTTTAAAAGAAAATTATATAGAGCCCAATATGATTAAAAAAAAAAAAAAGGATTACAGCATAGTCTTCTTGCTTAAATGGGCTAAGGGTTCCTTGCTTGGCTAAGATATAAGTATGGTGACATCCCTGGCTAAACAACTCCCAGAAATCTCAATTGGAAACTGTTGCCTTAGATCACACAATCCAACTGAATGAACTGAATGATTGCCCTAGAATTCAAGTGCAAAACCCAAATCCCCAATGTGATGGTCTTTGGAGGTGGGGTTTTGGAAGTTGATTAGGATAGGACTGATGCCCTTACTAAAAATGAAAGGCATGAGGTCTCTTTCAAGGGAGGATCTGCTCAGGAAGGAGGCTTTCACAAAGAACCTGACCAGCTGACACCCTGATCTCCTGTGACTTCTGACTTCTAAAACAATGTTTGCTGTCAAGATGCCCAGTCTGTGGCAATTTGTCATAGCAGCTGTAACTATACCCATTCCTCCTGAAGACCTACCAAGTGATCTCAATTCCATGGGTGGACCAGCAGATGCTGAAAATGAATGAAGGCACTATTTTTTTTTTAAATAATCAATTGGGGGCAACTTGAAATTTGTGAGAAAATTTTAAGAAAATTCCAAAGATAAAGATAATCCAAGACTTTTAAGATTTGACTGCCAATCATTCCAGAAGCATTACAATGAGCTCCTTTTGGTATGGAGCTGTGGCTGATGCAGGGGAAGGCTGAGACTCAAGGATGGATATGGAAAATGTCGCATTTGCACACAGGGCTCTCCTTCTAACAAGGTAGATGGGATGGGCCCAGCAATGCTTGTAGTACAGTACTAAAAGTGCAACAGGTGCTTTGAGACAGGGGCAGTCAAGTTCAATGTGGAACAAGGAGTGATTTGCAGCAGGAGGGAGAAAGAGAGAGTCCTTGGGGGGAAGAATCCTCGGGTGGGGTTGGAAAAGGAATGCAAGGACCAGCTAATGAGGAAGGGAAAGACACGTTAGTTTAGGTGAAGGCTGGACAGCATCAGGGAAACAGTGAAAGGAAAAAATGGTGTTAAATGACGCAGGGCTGGAGTTGTCAGTATATGCAATTCGTCCTTAATATAACTATCACACTCCAGGAAAGTATTATAGTAAATATAAAAATTGTATGTATCTCTGCATTGTTTGAACATTGGGTATGAAATGACTTGGATATAGTTTCCTTATTATTATATAAAACATTTCCATTTTTTCCAGGCAGAAGCTGACAACATTGTGACTTTGCAGTCATTTAGAGATAAATGCGAACCTGTTTTTCTCTTTAGTCTTGTAAGCATAACACTTTTTTGTCTCTATGATATTATCAGATTACAGTTTGTAGTTGAGGAACAAGTAGCATTGTAAAATTATTATGAGACTGTTTGCTGATGAGAGTAATAACACATTGTTTACACCATCCTGCTTATCGATAGGTAGGTAGATAGATAGATAGTCAGATAGATAAGATATAACCTCTAGGAGCATGTAATGGATTGAGGAGTTTTTATTTCACATGGTGACATGATTAGAGAAAAGAAAAATAAGATTATGTTTACCTTTACTAAGGAACTCTGGAGTTTTGTACAATCAAGTATTTACAGGAGTATAAAATTAGAAAATTCTCAGGTATGTTGCAGGAGAAAATTGGTTATAGATATTATATATACCCATGTAAAAAAGCATCTGTATGATAATTGTTTTGTAATGCATTTTATTTTTATCTCCATATTTACAAATGTATAGCAATAACACCAAATGTATATTCATCAAGATGTTACAGTAGTTTTCTATGGAGGAAAGTTGCATTAATTTTTGTCCTTTATACTTTTCTGTGTTTTCCCCATATTTCATGATGAAAAGATTACTTTAATAATCAGAAACAAAATAAGCACTATTTTCTAAAAGCAGAGTGTACAGTTAAGTGCTAAATTATGTGACATAGAGTACATTTGCTACAGAGTGACAGAATTGGTATAGTCAAGGCTTCACAGAGAAGATATGTAGGACTTGGGCTATCTTCTAGTTTGGGATACTTATTTATCGATTTAGTAATAATTATTTAAAAACAATTCTTGGATATAAATTTTTGCTTCCGTTAAATAATATACTTGCTACTCTTTCAAGGATTGGAATTACTGAGTTAATTGAATGAGGACATGTATCATAGTTCATGTTCTAAGTTGAAAATGTAGGATTTGATGATTTAAATGAAGGATCAACCTTTTCTGTAAATGGCCAGGTAGTAAATGTTTTCAGCTTTTAAAGAAATATGATCTTCATTCTGAGTCATTTTTTCATAACACTTGGCCTAGAGGCAGTTTAGGGAACCAGCATGGGGAAAGAAATTGTCTTGGTAAACTCCTAGATAATGAGGCAACTCTAACAGCAGGTTGCAATTGGGAGCCTAGGACTAAGGAAGAAGGACTGGGCAGGTGGAGTCTGGAGCTCTGGGTTGGCCACCACCCTGCCATGTGAGTCAGACCTATCCAGGACTCCCGCACACTCTCCTGAAGGGGACCATCAGTCTACATTCTCTGCTCTCTGTAGTAAATGCCCGAGATATAAGTAAAACCAGCCACGTGTTGGTCATTCTTCTAACACTCATTCTTTTTCTGACCCACTTTTCCACGATCTCTTGTCATGTCTCTGAGCTTTTGCTCTCCTTCCTTGACTCACCTTAAATTTGGCTCCTTCCTTAGGACATTATTTTCTCTGCAGTCCAGAAGTGGTGACTTTTTTTTTTTCCAAATGTATTTCTCAGGGCCAGGAGTAAAACAGATATTTCAATACTTTCTTTTCTTGCTTTCTAAAGATCCATTACATTTAGCTAAATCTCCTCCTCCACCTCAGTCCTACCATTTACTGACCTTCAGATCCTTTCTGTTGATGACTGAAGACTTTATCACTTGACTTAGTCTTATTCTCAAACACAAGTACAGCCGTCACTCTGGGGACTTCAGTATCCACATTAGCAACCCACTCAGTATCCTGGCCTTTCATTTCTTGATCTCCTTTCAGCTTATAAACTTTTCTTCCAATATACCTAATCTAATCATTCCTGTATTCATTCCTCGGACATCTTCAATCACTGATTGTTCCATGTTAATTTAAGAATCTCACTCTCTAACCATAAAAACATCACCAAGCTTATTGTTTGTTTATCTAAATATTCCCGTGGTAGCCCTTTGCTATTGGTCAGCTTCTTAGCTGACAATAAATTCATTCTATCAAGTTTCAGCAAGAAGAGCTTTTTTTAAGGGAATCATTGAAAGATTCATTTTGATGAGAAATAGGGTTTCTAATTTCACTTAAATATTTTTCAACTGAATCTTCATTGGCCTTTGAATATTATTAAAAAATAACACTCTTTTTGAAAACATTTTTATTAGCATAAATTAGTTGTGCACAGGGGTTCGTTGTCACAATGCTTACAATTTACCTCAGTTAGATTCATCCCCTCTATCATTCTCCCTTTCTCTCCTCCCTACTAAAAAGAGTTTCAACAAGTTTCATGTTCTGTTTCATGCAAGTACAAAAGCTACATAAATAACCCTCTTTTGATGCCATGATACCATGCCTATCTCTATTTCTCTTCTTTGCCTCCCTGCAAAATTATTCCAAGAGTTTCAATACTTGTATTTACTCCATTTCTTTCGATCCCATCTACTCCTCAACCCTTTCAGATTGACTTATGATTATTACACCAAAATTGCTGCTGCTTATGTATTCAGTTACCATCCTATTGATGAATATAATTGGAATTTTTAGGTGTTCATCACTTCGTATTATTCAAATGTATTTCAGTGATGACTATGCCTTCTGTTTTGAAACATTTGCTCCTTTTGGCTTTTATAAAGTAGTTTTCCTTTCATTCTTCTGGATACTGCTCCCTACATCTCTTTAACAGGTGCACACTTCTATATTGATGTTATATGTTAATACTCTCTTTAGAAAATTTTTCCATACACACTTGCAGTTATCACCATGATAATTATCAATATGTTAAGTTTTCATCTTTAGATAAATCCTGTACTTTGAACTTCTGACTTGACTACCCAACTGGTGTCTTGACATTTCTGCTTAGTTTTCTCAGAGGTATTTCACAATAAATTCATCTAATACCACACTCTCCTCTTCCTAAAAGTGGTATCTCCTAGTCTTATTTGATAATTTGTGTCATAATTCATAATACATTCAGTTTTCAAGGGAAAATAAGAAGAGTTATCTTAGTGAATTTTCACCCAATCCAAAGCACACTCGGACCAATTGAGTGTCTCTCGCACCCATCTACTTCTTTCCATTTTTTGCATTTCTACCACCTCTGAGATGGAGAAATGTTTAGAATAACTCCGGAATTATATACACACATCTTTTCTTGCTCCTCTTCTAAACTTTACTCCACACAGTAGGTAAAATACCCTTTATAAACAACAATTCTAGCTGTGGATATAGCCTTTGTTTAAACATCCCAGAGGTTTCAAACTGCACTTAAAAGGCTGTGGCTTTCATGGCTCCTAGGACTCCGTATGGTCTGGCTTCCTAAGGTGTTAGGATCCAGGCACACCATGCTGACCCTCAGCAGGCTTCGTGCTTGCTATGTTTCCTTCTAGCCGTAAACCCTTGCAATTGCTATTCCTTTTGCATAGTATGCCCTTCTTCTTTCACCTAGTTATCTCTTACTTATCCTTTAAGAAACACTTCTTGATATTGAGAAAAACCTTCCCTGACCTCTAGGCACACATTCTTACAGATGCTGTGAGTGCTCTTTGTACCTCTCTTAGTGGTACCCATCATGGTTGAGATTTCACACATGGTTTGGTGTTTGTTTGTTGTTGCAACTTAATTAGGTTAGGTACCAAGCTTTTCTTCCCATACCATCATGCCTGGCTCCATGCCAGTAAACAGATGCTTTGTAAAGATGAGATAAGAAATGGACAAAAGAATATGTGGTTTCAGAAACAGCTAGGAGGGTAATGTTGGGAGTCCTGGCCAGAATCTCTCAAATTTAAAGCAGAGGAGAGTCATGTGACTGTTCCTGTAGGGTGATTACTCACTGCAAGGTGGTAAAGGTGCTAGGGGATGTTGCCATGCCTTGAGCTCTAGGAAAACAGACAAATTAGAGGTAGAACTCAAATATCTTGGTTTACAAACTTTCACTCCATTAGTACTTTAATTTAAAATGGCTAATTACTTTGGCTAAAGAGGATTGACAAAGATGAGGGACAGGGAAAAATAATCAGCAACTTAATCCAGATTAAGTGTTAATTCTTGACTTATTCTGAAAAATGAAACTTTCATATTTTCCTTTTCCTTATAGAATGGCCAAATTATTGAAAAGATCCAGGGTGCAAATGCACCCCTTGTTAATAAAAAAGTTATTAGCTTGGTCAAGGAAGAGAGAAAAATTATGGAAGGTGAAATGGTTCGTCCTCAGGTAACACTGTGGATTTACAACTATTTTTAATTTTAAAATTGTATTACATTTTTGTTGTTTTCCTAAAACATCTGTTTTAGCCAGTTTTTTATCATTGTGATAAAATACTTGAGATAACTGATTTATAAGGAGGAAAGGTATATTTTGGCTCATGGTTTCAGAGGTTTTAGTCCATGGTCTACAGCTCTGTTGCTTTTGGGCTGTGACAAGGCAGATCATCATGGCAGGAATCTCACAGTGGAACAAGTTAATCATCTCATGGAGCCTAGGAAGAGAAAAAAAGAAGGGAGGAAGAGATCATTGTCCCACCATCTCCTTGAAGGGCACACCCCAATGACCTAACTCCTCCACTTCTTCTTCCAACTGGGCTGCTCTCCCATTAGCAGCACCTCCCATTAGGGCTGGGACCAAGCCTTGAAGACTTGACCTGTGGGGAACACTTTCCCAAACCACAGCACCTCATAACTAAATGAGTGTTTAAAATTTGTAACCTGTTTTGGAAGCATTTTGGCAAGCTGTGTAAATCACAGCCACTTTTCTACTTCCCCCTATGCCTTGGGCTATAAATATTTACTAGAAACAAAATTTCTAAGTACTCTTTCACTATGGTATTCGAACAACGGTATTTTGCTTCTATTTCTCTTGCCTAGTATAGTGAAATTCCACTCATAGATGTATCTTCAGAAGATACTGGAGAAGGAAATTATGAAAATACTGGTAAGTAAATTTGCCTTATAATAATGATAAGGGTTTTCTGTACACAGGGGGTTATTACAGCAATACGAAGCTGGTAACAGTCTCAATGTTAGTCAACATAGGACTGTTCCGTAGATGATGACTCATATGTTGCATGACTAGCTATTAAAAGGCACTCTCTTTTGCTCTCCCTAACTCAAACCTTTGGTCTTTGGTTCTGGAGCCTTTCAAAAGTTATGCAAGACTATAGCCTCCTGTCTCCTACCACTAAAATGGATAGTAGATTCTGGTTTTCATCCTTCATCAACTTTCAAAAACTTGTGAAAATAATTTCTTCTTTGATGACAATGATTTTGGTTTATTTTGCAGTTAACAATTCCATGCCTTCACTGAATTTCTCTGTGTGTTTCTGTTTGTGTGTCTGTATATATGTATTTGTTCTCTGGAAACATGAAAGGCAAACAGCCACACTCAGTGAGCTACTTTGCATGATGAATTCATAGATGGTAATTTTGCCCATTTGTGATCATCATTACTTGCAGAGTGCATGGTTGAAGTTTCACTCACTGGCAATACTGAGCTGGTAGAACCACAAGTGTGATTCTAATGCATGAGAATTACATCAAAATTGCATCACAACTGCCTAATTGCTCATTGCCTCCTTCTTAAAAACTCTTGTGAATGTTTCCCTTGTATTTATGTATAAGAAATGTGTTTTGCTTCTAAGTAGAAACTCTTGGAAGTTGAGGTCCCAAAATAAGAAACAAAGCTATCAGTGCTCATAGATACTCCAGATATAAGAATTCATATTTGTAATTGCCACAACCTTCATTATCCTGACTTTGAATCAAGAAAATGAAATTTTCTTTTTCCCTTCAGTGGAATCTTATAGTATTGCTATTATCAAAGCTGATGCTGTGAACAGGAGAAAAGGCCCAGAAATTAAAAAAAAGGTAGGCAATATTTACCAGCAATAGTTTAAATTAACCACAAAATAGCACCTTAATTGTTAATTCATGTACAAACTTATCATTTAGAATAAAATAGAAGCCAGCTAACTGTCTATACTAGGTACCTCTGAAGGATTTGAGCATTGTCTCCCTCCCTCCCTTCCTCCCTCCCTTCCTCCCTTCCTTCCTTTCTTCTTTCCTTCCTCCCTCCCTTCTTCCTTCACTCCCTCTTTTCTTCCTTTTTCTTTTGCAGTACTGGTGGTTGAACTCAGAGTCTCATGGCTCCTAGGCAGGCACTGTAACACATGAGCCACTCTGCCAGCCATTTTTGCGTTGGTTATTTTTTAGCATTTATTAGTTGTACAGGGGGTTTCATTGGGACATTTCTATATATATTTACAAATTACCTTGGTTAGGTTCCCTCCCACCATCATTCTCCCTCATTCCCCTTCCCCCATTTAAAATGATTTCAGCAGGGTTTCATTTTCATATAAGCATATAAAGTTTGTGGACCATATTCACCCTCCTTTACCCTCTCCATTCACCCTCCTCCTACTAGTACCTATCCCCTAAACAGGATCTGTTTTACATTCCTTTCTTTAATTTTTAAGTGTATATTCATTGTTCAAAGGGGTTTCAACATGGCATTTCACCCATTAATGCATTATACTTTTATCAGATTGACCCCCTCTATTACTCTTCCTTACAATTTTATGGTTACATATTATTTAACAGCTGTCAGTGCATTTCATTATGCCTTCTTCCTACATAGATGCAATGATTATATTTCAATATTATTCACATTCTAGCATTCTTTTGTCTTCTCCTTCCTCCCCCAGTACTCTCAAACAGTCCTACTATTGCAAACATGTTATATATATATATATATATGTTTGTATTTATATATACATTAATCTTTTAAATCTGTCTTCCACATATGAGAGAAAACATGCAAACTTTTCCTTTCTGAACCTGGATTACTTTGCCTAACACATTGATCCCTACTTCCATCCATTTCCTTGTAAATGATATAATTTCATTTCTCTTTATGGCTGAATAATATTCCATTGCATTCCACATTTTCTTAATTCATTCATCAGTTATGAATAGTGTTGCAGTAAACTTGGCAGTGCAATCATTTTATTTGTATCCTGACTTACATTGCTTTGGATATATGCCCAGGAATGGTATCACTGGATCCTTTGGTATTTCTATTTTTAGCTTTTTGAGGAATATCTATGCTGCTTTCCATAGTGGTTATACTAATTTACTTTCCACCAACAGTGTATCAGCATTCCATTGTCCCCACATCCAACATTTGTTGTTTGTGTTCTTGATGATAGTCATTCTTACTGAAGTGAGGTAAAATCTTAATGTAGTTTTGATTTGCATTTCTTTTTCCGTCAGAAATGTTGAGCCTTTCTCCGTGTATGGTTCATTTGTACTTCTTCCTTAGAAAAATACCTCTTCAGTTCATTTGTCTATTTCTTCTTTGGGTTGTTGATTCTTTGGGAGTTTAGTTTTTCTGAGTTCTCTGTAAATTCTGCTTATTTATTCTTTATCAGATATATAGCTTGTAAAGATTTTTCTCCCATTCTGTAGGCTGTATCTTCACCCTGGTGACTGTTTTCTTTGCTATGCAAAAGCTTTGTAGTTTCATGTAGTCCCATTTGTCAATCATTTCTCTTAATTGCTGAGCTATTTGTGTTCTATTCAAGAAGTTATTGCCTATGTTTTATGTTCCAGTATTTTCCCTATTCCTTCCTTGTAGTTTCAAAATTTCAGAACTTACATTAAGATCTTTGAACAACTTTGCATTTATATTAATACAGGGTGAAAGACAGGGATCTAGTTTCAGTCTTTTACACACAGATGTCCAGTTTTCCCAGCAACATTTGTTGAAGAGGCTGTCTTTTGTCCATTGTATATTTCGGGCTCAGATGATTATAGCTCCATAGATTTATGTCTGGGTCCTCTATTCTGTTCCATTGGTCTTCACATATGTTTTTGTGCCAGTGCCATGTCTTTATTGCTGTGACTCTGTAGTATAGTTTGAAGTCAGGTATTGTGATACTTCTAGTATTTTTTTTTGTCAAGATCACTTTGACTACTTGAGGTCTTTTGTGCTTTTGTATGAACATTAGGATTGATTTTTCTAACTCTGTGAAGAATGTCATTGGAATTTTCATGGGAATTGAATGGAACATATTGATTGCCTTTGGTAGCATAGACATTTTCATGATATTGATTTGATTAATCCATGAGCATAGGAGATTTTTCCATCTTTTGATATCTTCTTTGATTTTTCTCTTCAATGATTTATAGTTTTCATTGTAGAGGTATTACACTTTCTTTCTTAAATTTATTCCTAGGCATCTTATTTTTTGAAGGTACTGTAAATGGATTGTTTTCCTGATTTATTTCTCAGTCTGTTTATTATTGGTATATAGAAAAGCTACTGATTTTTGTATATTGATTTTGTATCCTGCTACTTTGCTGACAGTGTTTATGATGTCTGAGAGGTTTTGGTGGAGTTTTAAGAACATTTTAGATCTAACTTCATGTCATCTGTAAATAAGGGTTATTTGTCTTCTTTTCCTATTTGAATACCTTTTATTTTTTCCTAGGAAGAAATTGCTCTATGATTTCCTAAACTGTACTGAATAAAAGTGGGGAGAGTGGACACTCTTGCCTTGTTCCTGCCTTTAGAAGAAATATTTTCAGTTTTTCCCCATTCAATATGATGTTGGCTGTAGCCTCATTTTATATAGCCTTTATTATGTAGGCATATCCCTTCTATTTCTAGTTTCTTCAGAGCTTTTATTATGAAAGTACATTGAATTTGCCAAAGGCTTTTTCTGAGTCTATTGAGATAATCATTCTGCATCCCTGGAGTAAAACACACTTGATCATAGTGCCTGATATTTTTGATATGTTGTTGAATTCAGTTTGCCAGTATTTTATTGAGAATTTTTGTTTCTACATTCATTAATGAGATTAGCCTGTAATATTTCTTTTTTTTTGTTGTTTTTGTTGTTCCTTGTGGCCTTGTTCAGTTTTGGGATGAGCGTAATACTGGCTTCATAGAATGAGTTTGGTAGTGTTCATTCCCTTTCTATTTCATGGAAAAGTTTGAAGAGTGTGGATATTAGTTCTTTTTCAAAAGTTTGGTAGAATTCAGCAGTGAATCCATTAGGGCCTGGGCTTTTGTTTTTTGGGAGACTTTACTGCTGCTTCAATTTTATCATGTGTTTAGATCTATTTAGGTGGTGTATATCATGTTGGCTAAATTTTGGTTGAGCATATGCATCAACAAATTTATCCATTTCTTCTAGATTTTCCAATTTATTTGAGTGTAGGTTTTTGAACCATTCTCTAATGATTCTCTAGATTTCATTTGTTTTAGTTGTGATATCCCCATTTGCATCTATAATTTTATTTATTTGAGTCTTTTCTCTCCTTCTTTTAGTCAGGTTGGCTAAGGGCTTATCAACCTTATTTATCTCCTTAAAGAACTAACTTTTTGTTTCATTGATTCTTTGTATAATTTTTTGTCTCAATTTCATTGATTTTGGTATTTTTTTATTATCTTTCTCCTGCTGGTTTTGAGTTTAACTGGCTCATGATTTTCTAGGAGTTTGAGGTGTAGCATTAGATCATTTATTTCATATTGCTCATAGCTATAAACTTTCCCCTTAGCCTTATACCAAAAGATCTAGTAGGTTGTGTTTTCATTTTCATTAGTTCCAGGAACTTTTTTATTTCCTTCCTTATTTCATTGATGACTGACTGGTTATGCAGCAATGTGTTGCTCAGTCTCATGTATTTGAATATTTCTGCAGTTTCTTTTGTTGTATAGTCTAGTTTTATCCTGTTGTGATTAGATAGGATACCTGGAGTTATTTCAGTTTTCTTATATTCATTAAGACTTTCCTTGTGTCCTAAAATTTGATCTATTTTGGAGAAAGTTCTATGGGCTACTGAGAAGAATGTGTATTGTGCTGCTGATAGATGAAATATGCTGTAGATGTACATTTGGACTATGGCATCATTTAATTCTGAAGTTTCTTTGTTGATTTTTTTTGTCTAGATGACCTACTTCTTTATTGGTGATAGTGGAGTATTGACGTCTCCCACTATCATTGTTTTGCAGTGGGGTCTATCTATTTTATGGCTGTAGCATGCATCTCTTCTTCTTCAATACTGATGATTCATAGGTTTGATCTCTTAATGAAGTCACAGAGTTCTTGCATATTCCATTCAGATTTCATTCTTTTTTCTATAAATTTACCTATTTTTCTATTGTATCTAATTTCTCTTCAAGCCCTGAAATTCTGTCTTCCACTTATTCCAGTCTGCCTGAGAGGCTTTTAACTGAATTTTTAAGTTTTACTTAAAGAGCCTTTTATTTCCATAGCTTCAATTTGTTTTTGAGTTTCTTTTTAAGGCTTTTTATATCTTTATTGAATTCTCCTTTAATGTCTTATATTCTCTTCCTTATTTAATTATCTATTTGAATTCCTCGTGAACTCATTCAGAAGTTTGTTTATATCCTCTTCGAGTTCATTTAGCTGTTTCTTTGCATCCTCATAGAATTAAGTTATTCATATTCTCTTATGATTTCATTGGCTCATTTTCATGTCTTCTTTCATCTCATTAATCATTCTTATCATCATTTTTGGAGCTCATAAATTGAGATTTCACCCCCTTCACTATCCATCAAATACTTTGTTATATGATTATTGACCTATTGAGGAGTCATATTTCCTTACCTTTTCAAATTTCTTATGCCTCTATTTTGAGATTTTCTCATCTGTAGTCAATTTGTTGGCTTGCAGTTTCAGGTGTAGTCATCTAAAATCTTCCCCTTGAGTTAATTTCTATGTTCTGGCAGGACTGGTTATTGGCAGGATTGTGTATCATTTCTGACCGTTGGCCTGGGAATATAACAATCAGCAATAATAAATTCACCAATTCTCAAACCAGATATTTACATAAAGTAG